CTCACCATTGCAAACATATGCAGTATGTTCCTCCCTCTGACCCTTGGCCAAGCTTTTTTATTTGAATGCTAGGCAATGTCAAGATAATGTGCAATAGCAGCTTTGATGTTACCAGTGTGAAGGAAAAGGGGGAAAAAGGTGGCATGTTATAGTCAGTGAGTCAGCATCTGTCAGATGATGTCTGGTAGCTTAAGGTTAAGTATACAAATTTTGGGGAAAACAAACACTCTGGGTTTGATAGCCAGAGCCTTAGAGCCTGATTTCCACCTGAATGAAGTGTTTTTATTAGTAGCTCTAAATCTTCAGTGAGATACAGCAGTCATGTATAAAACTGTTCAACAAGAATATATTGTAGGCTGAAGGGAGGAGGATGTGCACACAGGAGTAGGAATGAAATACAAAAGAGGGAGGTAGAGGCAAGACTGCTGTTTCCTGAGCGCCCTGAGAAATGAGGGCATTCAGAGGAATGTAGTCAAAAGAATTTTATGCCAAAATGTTTTGCTACTTTTTCCTCACTCATCTTATATAGTGGAATTTCCCAGTTATCTTTAGGAGAAAAAGTAAGTTATTCAATGCTAATCTGTTTCAGATCTCAGCACCACTCATATAAGTCGGGAGCTGTTTCTTCAGCCAACCAATCAACTTCATACAGATAAACTGAGAAAGGAGTTTGGTCCTAGAATTGATGTTTCGGTTCCTGGTTATAAATCTGAAGTCTCCCCTGAAAGTTAAGATACATGTTTGGAGACTTATTCCCTCTTTACACTTGTTTAACCTCTTTGCATTTATCAGTCACTACCTTTTATTAGTTGTGAGCGTTATCATGTTTGAATGGTGGGGTAGTTCATTTTTTCGAAACCAAGAGGCTCAATCCCTAGCAGTACTGAGAGGACTAAGATTGCAAAGGGATAAAAGACTTTTTCCTTTTAAAAAATCTGCTTTTCTTAAAAAAGTCTAATACAATAAAAGGCCTGCAAGCTTAATCAATATAGCATTACTAAAAACATCTTTTGAAATCCTTTAGCACTGTTTACTGTGCTCCTATTTCTTCTACTGTTCAAGCTATCTGCTTCAGTACTCACATAATAAAATAATTTCAAAAGCAAGCCTTTTTTTTGTGGGGGTGGATTAAGATTACTGTTTGACAAAACATTATATTATAGGCTAAATTTGTTGGGATTTTTTGCAAGATCTTAGGTTGTGGTTGTGCAGTAATTGTACTTTGTTTTCATGGCATGACAGATTCTGGGTTTTTTTTTTTTTTATTTGATGCTAAAAATTACTAAAACACATGTCAGAAACCCACATTGTCTGATTAAATTTTTTTTATTGATAGAAGTGAGGGGATTGTATTCTGTTATTTGTTTTGGCAAAGAGTGGCTTCATGTTTTAATGCCAAGATGTTACAAAGAATATTACAAGAGGATGCTTGCTGAAAATGAAAATCAAACAATCATTTGTGTGTGTGTGTGCTTGATTAATTTTCATGTTGAGTGACACTGCACTAGGGTCTGTGAACTCTCTTTCTGTTTTCCCCATGACAAAGTTTAGAGGTGGCATTACAATGAAGGAGAAAGGGGAAGCTGTAGAAGAGCGCTTTTGACTCTTGGGTTGTTAGAAGTTTTCATGCCATCTTTTCTCCTCACACATACTGTAGGGTTATAGCTGAAAGTTAGGAAGGTGGCTGAAGCATATCTTCATGCTCCAGCATACTGCAGTTGATGGAACAGCTTTTGTACGTGATAGACTTGCAAGTTTATGATGGGAAGCAGCCTTGCAGCCAGATGGTTCTGGGCATATGTGTTTATGAGAAAGTGACTTTAAGTCACTTTACCTCCTTTGGAGCTGTGCTGAGCGCGGCTTAGCTTCAGGCAGCTGTGTTTTCAGTGCCATCCTCCTTTTCTGTTCTGTGGCTTGCATCTCTCTTCTGTTTGCTTTGGTTCTTTTCTGTTCAATGTAAAGGCGAAGGGGTAGCTAATACTCCTGCCCTGGAGAATTACAGTGAATGAGAACATGTCTTCTGCCCCTTTGCAAGCTACTTCAGACTTAGATATGGGTCCCCAGGAGGAAAAAAATGGTTATATTCCTGCTTGTTCCATCCTTAGAACAGACATGCAAGGTACGGATTGATCTTTGGCTCCTAATTTAATACTTCCTGGGATGTATTTGATGCTGATATGTATGAGCCTTTTCTCTTCCTTTTTAATTTGAGTGCCTGTCCATGAAAGGTAGTTCAAGAGAGGCTGATGATTTGGGAAAGAAAGTTCAGGCTGGGTCACAGTAACCCTAGCTAGCTTTGAAGTCAACAGCTTGGATGGTGGTAACAAAATGTAACTTTGCAGCATAGCTGGGAGTGTTTGGGTCTGGTGGTCGTCTCAGCATAAAACCAAGCTCTGGCCTGAGGACACATACAATACACATCTGTAAAAGCATGAATGGTTTGGGGACAGTGAAGCAGGGAACAGTAGTGCATTGTGTCGCCTAGTGCCAGAACTAGGGAGCAGCAGATGAAACCGGCAGACAGGCAGATGTTTGAAACAGGTATTTTCACGTAACAGATCACTGAAGTTGGAACTGCATTTTTATAAGGTGTTGCAAATGCTAAACATTTCTATGGGTTCAGAAAGCAACTGGCCAAATTCACAGAAGTTAACTATTAAATACAAAGATACTAATCTGCACAGGATTCCTTGTGCCATGAAGTGTTGGATGATTGGAAAGCATACTGGAGAAGTATCACTGTATGCTTGTTCTGTTTTATACCCTTTCTAGGTGTCTGCTACTGGTTATTGTTGAAAATAGGATACTGATACATAAGGATGTTTGATGGGACCTGGTTCAGTAAACTTTTGCGCTTGTGCCTGTAGAAAGTGCGCTCAGAATTTGGATTGCAATGTAGATTTACTAGTCGAAGCATGTTTTGATGCACACTGTCACTTAGGACTGCTTTTTGTGTAGTATGTATTCGGTAACACTCCTAGTTTGATGCTATGTATATGGTCTCAATGCAGCTTTCATGAAATAATGGAAAAATGGTTGATCAAGTTGTATGGTAGCAGGACTGTACTCGTATGTTGTGTTTATCATTGTATTTTCTCATTTCGTTGTAAACGTTAGGATTCCTTTTGTTTTTCTTTGTGTGGTAAACATGTTAGATTAGAGGATAATAAATTTTTAACTGAGTGACGAGCCACATCTAAACCTCCCAGTCTGTGTATTGGGATTAAAAACAAAAGAAAAGGGCAGAAGCATTTAATCTCTTTGCAGTCTTTCTGAATGCAAAATATAAGAGTCAGATTTAATGTCTAATGGTAGATCGGTAAACAGGATTATTGCCTGGATGGAGTAAATCCTCAAGCATTCCACCCATTTTATTTTGCTGTGTAATGATTCTGAAAGCAACTCTAGGATGGACCAATACATAGAGCATTTTCTAGTACCGCTTAGGATGCACATGTATATTTGTTGTTATTTATTTACCTCGTCCCACTTTTGTTTATTCCTAATTCAGCTTTTTAATTTGCAATTCAACTTCTTTAGCTTTGAAAGCTATTGAATATTTCACTGTGCTTTAAATTATTCTGTATTTTCAGACAAAAGGAAGCACAGTGTGCTATAGATGAAGCCTATATAATACTTTTTTTCCAAGTTAGTCTCATGACATTGTTAAGACTCGGTACTGCATTTACAGAGTCAGTGTTCTCTACCTAGCCTGTGATTAAATGGGAATTGCTGCTTGTTGTACTATGAGTTGGCTGACAAAAGCTAAATCTGTCACAGGTGCTACAATTTCTGTATCAGAAAATTTGCTTTCCAAATACTAATTATTCCCAAAGAATCTTACTTCACACAAAGCACAGATAACAGAGTCAGCAAATTTGTCCCACTTTTATCATTGTGCTGTAAATTAGGGTTTGTCTCCTACCATTGTGTAAAGTGAAGATGGTAGAAATTCAAATGCAGGAGAACCCATTGATTTACAACCTCTGATGTGTTTTTTCACTTAATTCTTCCAATCAAAATGCTTGAAGTGTATGTTATTCAAATAATCATTGCTGAATTTCACTTCTGTAATTGAACGAGCTGCTGTCTAGGGACATATGATGGTGGGAAACTTAAGTGTTTTCTCTCCAGATGTCATTAAAAATTGGAAGCGCTTTGTGCCTGAAAGGCCCAGACCTAACCTGGTCCTATGCTTAAACTATTAATTTGGGAAGTTAATTTAATATGATGGTAGCTTATCAGGAATTATCTTTCTGGTTGCTGTGGGAGGAGAATGGACCCTCAGTCATTGAAACGGCAGCTGAATAAGTGAGAGCATTCACTTTATAACCTCCTCAGACTCTGAGTCACGTATGTCATGAAAACACACATGTAAGTACCTGTGCACAAGCACAGAGTTGGGTTCCTGTCACCCCTCTTCTACCACCGCTCCCTGTCATGGAGAGCCTTTGTGATAACCTCTTACAGCCCTAGATGCCAGTATGATGTCTTTTGACATTGAAACACCAGGATCTCCCTAGATAGGAGTTTGTAGTTCAGGTAGGCTATTGCTCAGTTAAATCTTTTGTAACAAATCTAGCTGTCACCCAAGTGAGCAAATTTTTGACACTAGACACAGAATGACCTGCTAAAGTAGCAACTGGAACTGTGTTTCAGTAGCTTCTCCTTTCATTGCCAAGAATTATCTAGGAACCCCTTCTGAGATTAGACAAGTATTTTAAATGTGTGTTCAAAATATTTAGCTTATAGAGTGACTTACACAGAAAAGGAAGAGCATTGAATGCTGTAAATGAAATTTTTCGCAACAATTTTTGCATTGTAAACTAGCTTAAGAAACTGTTTATTTATTCCCTTAGGATGAACATATTGTATATTTCTAGATTTCTGACAAATGCAAACATTGATGTGATTTAACTTCTAATAGCAGTGATTCATAGCTCTAGTTGTTTGGCTTGTGTATAGTAATACTGATTTGTATTTTTATTTTATTTCTGTAGGACTATTTAACCATTCACAAGTATGGCAATGCAGCCAGAAATGATCTCTGGAACACATTGTCAAAGGTAAAATGCTTTAATCTATTGCACCGAGGGAGAAGCAAGAATTTACTGTGTATTTTTCTTGGTCAGGTTAGAAGTGAATAGCGCATATTGAGATCTTCAGACCCCAGAGCAAATATAAAAATTGATGCGAAGAAATTCCATTTGAGTTAACCTAGTGGCAACATTAAAATATGTTTTTTGCAGCATTTCTATTCTTTGTTATGTTAGAATATATTTTCCTTGCTTGTGCTGTGTCACTGATGTGCAGTAAAAGATACTTCATGGAATCTGCTATCTTTGACTTTAGTGGCAGCACGCTGTGGCCCATAAGCTGGAAAGCATGTGACAATGCTGAGCTTTGGCATTTATATCAGGTGTGTTTGTGAGTTTGTATGGAGTTATGATTTGCGTGAAGGACAAAAGTCTTAAAGCTTTAAAGTTTGGTGTAAACAGATAACTATTTACTGTAACATTTGGCATGCTGTAGAGACTTATAGTTGCTATGTCCATGCTCCCTTTGGTTGCTATGTCAAAGCTCAGCTTGAATTTCTAGAGCCCGGTCCAGGGATCTATAAGGGCAGAGTTTAATTTTCATAAAGCAAGCCAAGGATGCCTGAATTTCTCACCTACAGAGCTTAGTCTGGGCATTCCAGAATAGACAGAGTGCAAGCCAATGTAGAGTACAGTCAGGGAATTTGGGCAGAAGTACCAACTCAAGCCATGGTAAACATTGTAATCTAGTTGTAACTATTGACACCAAAGCTGGGATTCAGCTGGAGGTCAAGACATCTACATTTATCTAGACAAGCAGGTATATACATGTAAGCTAGGTGTCCAAGCTCCAATTGTTGTCAGTGAGGGCTGGAGTCAGTTGTCTGTTCATAGACATCTAACAACTTTTACCTTAATTTATCGTACCTGACTTCCAGCTGCCACATGAGACAAGTATGTCTGCTGTAGGTCCACCAGTTCTGCAAGGATGTGTTGAATATTTTAGGACATGTCATTTGACATTCAGTGAATAGGAACAACTGGAGTCCCAGAAATCTAGTCAATACAGTCAGCAGAGCATACAGAGCAATTCAGTTGACTAGCCACTACACGATTATTTTAAAATGAGCCTGAACCACTGACTGTTGACTAGGGACTTAAGATAATTGTCCAAATATAGGCAACTAGTGTCAGATTAGGTGCAGCAGGGTGTTCAAGACTTCCAGGTGGGTCTAATCAATTTCACACAAGATCTGTGGGGAAATCTGTACCCTTCTGGAGTGGCAGGTCAAGGTCAAATGACATTAGCCACCTGTGCGTGGGCAACTGAATCATAGAAGCATAGAATTGTTTAGGTTGGAAAAGACCTTTAAGATCATCAAGTCCAACCGTTAACCTAACGCTACCAAGTCCATCACTAAACCATATCCCCAAGTGCCACATCTACATGTCTTTTAAATACCTCCAGGGATGGGGATTCAACAACTTCCCTGGGCAGCCTGTTCCAATGCTTGACTACCCTTTCCGTGAAGAAATTTTTCCTAATATCCAATCTGAACCTCCCCTGGTGCAACTTGAGGCCATTTCCTCTTGTCCTATCGCTTGTTACTTGGCAGAAGAGACTGACACCCACCTCGCTGCAACCTCCTTTCAGGTAGTTGTAGAGAGCAACAAGGTCTCCCTTCAGCCTCCTCTTCTCCAGGCTAAACAACCCCAGTTCCCTCAGCCACTCCTCATAAGACTTGTTCTCCAGACCCTTCACCAGCTTCTTTGCCCTTCTCTGGACACACTCCAGCACCTCAATGTCTTTCTTGTAGCAAAGGGCCCAAAACTGAACACAGTATTCGAGGTGTGGCCTCACCAGAAACTGAACTGAGTCCTATGTCTGCACTGACTGTTAATGAGAGTTGAGATGTGTAACATACAGTCAGGCTCTTAAATCTATGCCTTAATCTGAAGTTGAATGCCACTGCAAAACTCTTTCTTGCTTCTCACCTGGTGTCTTCCTCTGTTAAAGCCTTTAGGACAGTTCTGGGCAATGGGAGGTCAGAGGGATGAACGTAATCTTGAAAGAACAGCAGAACAGCTAATAAAACAGAATGAAAATGAGACTCTATTCTGGTCCATAACCACTATGTCTATACTGTATGCTCAAATCTATTGTTAAGGCTAATAATTCCATTTGCCTCACCTGTAAGCATGTTTGTTGCCAGCCGCTTTGTTCATAATGCATTGCAATTGCAGCTTCAGTTCTGAAGGCTGGGTTCTGATTGTATTAATCAGAAGTTGCTCAGTCTGTGATCTAGGACTGTCTGGTAGGGACATTTCCATCGCTGAAGAACAAATGATGCCTGTCATTCTCCTCATACCCAGTCTCATCTCCCATGATACCACAGTATCTTTGTTTCAGATGAAAATCCACTTGTAAAACAGCATTTTTATTAACATCAGTATCAAATATGAACACATTAATCCTCCGTGTGTTATGACAGGTGCAGTTTATGAAGGAGCTGGGAATATCTTTCTATACATGGCCTCACTTTGGACATGAAGGACCGTATTTTCAAATAGCTAGTCCTTTGATTTTCAGCACAGAGAAGCTCTGTACTTTCAGAAATCAGGACCTTTGAATATGCCTTATTGTAGGTACCCTAGATCAACTAACACTGAGTCTTTTTTAACCTTAGCTGTTCAAGAATATCTTTTGGAGACAGCCACCCAGTATTTCTGTGGCTCTTGTTAAAACCCTGTAAAGCCGGTTGTTTCTTCTGTTACAGCAAAAGTGCATGAATGATGTGGGAAACATGACTTTCTGACTGTCACTCCTCTCTGGCAAGATTGCTCCATGTTTATTTTTCAGATATATAGAGACCGTTGGTTAAATTATGTAGTGTGTGTGTACTGGGTGTAAATGTGTGTGTGTGCATGCATGATGGTTATTTAAACCTCTGAACTACTTATGATCTCTGGGACAAAAAAAAAAAAAAGTGTTTTGTATGTTGGATGATGGTATTGCTTCAACATATTGAAACTTTTCTTTTTTCTTGAAGGCTTTAAAAAGGGTTGGAAAATCTGTAAATATCCAAGAAGTAATGGATCAGTGGACACTACAGATGGGCTACCCTGTTATCACTATCTTGGGAAATGAAACTACGGACAGTGTCATAGTGATCTCCCAAGCACGTTTTGTTTATGATAGGGATGCTAAACCCAAGAATCCTACCCTTGGAGACAACAGGTACATATATTTCTCAATACATATCTTTCAAGAGACTGTAGTTGTTTAAGTGCTTCATGTGTGTATTTTTATGAAGATGGCTTTTTAGTAATCTCTGAGCTTTGCTTGGTAGCCTGTGGTGGCTCTTCCATTTGAACTGTAGTAAAGATGAGGCTAGTTAAAAGAATTGAAAAAAATCATTAGAGTAATAGAACAACAAGATAAAACTTTTAATGTGCCCATTTGCATCCTGACAGTTCTCTCTGTGACTACGTCTTACACCACACATCTGTTTCCTCGCCTTTTCTTTTGGTTTTGTCACACTCCATGAAGTAATTTGGAATGTGGTTGGAAGGTCTGATACTTCTTAAGTAATTCTTTAGAGTGGACCTCTCCATACTTCCAAGTATGAGAGGTCATACATCAAGTAGGCAGATGTAACCATGTGTTGGGTATATACCTCACTTGACCTGGGAAGCAGTCAAGAGCTGAACTGGACCACTGTACAGGGCAGGGGGTTCCAGCTGTTCCAGTTTTGAAGCCAGCTGAACTGGTCCTATGGGGACTGTTCCATTGGCTGAAGTCAGCAGTCACTTACGCATCTCTACCCCTACCCTTTTTCTATGTATTTTTCCTTCCTGCTCCCAGCTGACTCCACACAATTCCTTCATCCCAGAGACAAGCTGACATTCCTGGCTGATGCTGGGGAGTCCTCATCTTATTGTTTAAAGCAGTTTTGTTATCATATTTTAAGGCCAAGGATCTAGAGCTGCTGCTACAGAATTACAGTTTAGCCTTAGAAGCTTCTGTGTTCACCTCTTCACACTCAGTGGGAAAGAGGGCATCCTCTCAACCTTGAGTACTCTGTGCTTGTCCAGTAGATTTAAATCGTTAGAAGGTAAAATATAATACCAAATTTTGCTTGACATGTCTGGACCTTATAGAATATTGCTGTTGAGGAAGGCCTAAAAATATAGTTATATTTATTGGGAAATGTTTAGAAGTTTGTTATCCTTTTTTAGAACATGAATATTATGGAACTCAAACATGACACAGAGTAAATTGTTGTTTTTCTGGCTGTATGGAACAACCTAGCAGGGTATTAAGCATCTGTTTAAGTTCTAGGCTGAAATTAGTTCCTTTGTGAAAAAGAGATAAAACAAGCAAATGTGGACTGTTGAAAGAGTTCATGATTCACAGTTCAGTGCAGTGTGAGAGTGATTCTCTTTTATTCACTTGAAAATTTATTTTGTGCAAGTGTATACGCGTAATGTGAGTGGATTTTACTAAGAAAAAAAGAGATTATTAGTTTTTTGACTGATTAAAATGTGAATGTTAAGCCTTTAAAGTATTGTAGAGACTTTCTTAAATAGATTTGTTAGGTACTCAGTATTGATTCTAATAACTGCTACTGTAATTCATGAGTAAAGACTACTGGGTGTGTAAATGTTTTATAAGGTGGAACATCAGGGGTGAGAATAAGAGTTTTATTTTCATGTGACATTAATTCAGAATTCAAACTGTATCTTGAGATACGTTGAAGGTAGTGTTCTGCACCAACAGGACAAGTTATGCTGGATTTCTTAGGAGATTTTGTCTACATATTTTATCTCATTTATAATTTCTAAGCATGGGAAGTAAGATGTAGTGCTATAGACAGCACCAAAAGGGATATCAGCATGGGCCCTGCCAGGAATTTACTGTGCTAACAGGCAGTACAATACATATATGTATCTCCAGTGGCAAGTCTCTTTCCTGTTCCTTTCCCCCTTTGGATTTGTTTCTCTCTGTGCTTCCATGTCCTTTTAACCACAAATGGGAAGGAAGCCCCTTGCCCAAAGAAGGCTTTACAGATGGGATGTTTACTCCAGCCAGTTAGATGATGGAGGTAGTTTGCCACTTCCCAGTTAAAGTTATTTGAAAGTCGTGTTACGTAAGTATAAATACCAAAGAACAGGAACCATATACATTTAGCAAAAGGTGAAACTTGGCTATGCCATTCACCTTTCAAAAATCATCCACCGATTCACATTAAAGTCCTATGGCTTAGTTATAAATTAGTGTCTAGAGTGTTATAACAATGACCATGCAATTTGTTGGTGCACTGCACACAGGCACATGTGGCTTGGTATGCACAATGGCTCTGTGTCATTACATGTCCTTTCATACCAGCAAATTAAGTAGAAAAGCAAGATTGGCATACTGAAAATAAATTTACTCTTTCTGTCAGCAATGACCTAGATCTTTTTCAGGGACTTTTTTTGTGGGTTTTTTTCATTGGAAAAGTCACTATTGCTTCAATTATTGTGAAAGCAGTAGACAGGGAAAATCGCATTAATGTGATGTCATTTTGTAATTTGTGATACATTACCTTGGTTTTTAACATTGTAAGAGCAGAAGTTTGTATGACATGATACAAAGGGACCAGTTTTTCTACAAGTATGCAAAGGGAGGTGATAACTGGAATGGAAACAGCATGTTGATGGACGTTCAGCACTACTGTGAAATGCAGTGTTCTGGCTGATTCTGCAGGTGGCTTTGGTCAGGAAGTTGGCAAGGGTTTACTGACATTCAGCAGGGCCTGATAGCACAGGTAGGTGTTGGGGGAGGCACAGAGGTATATATATATATACACATACGTATATAACGTCAGCCTGCAGGCTTTGGGGGTGTTACCTATCAGTGGCCTAATTCACAGTCCAATAAAGCTGGTGCTCATCTCCCCTGCATGACCCATGAATTAGGTGTTGGATGCATGGCTCACTGGGGAACCATAATAGGCACTGTAAATAACGGGGAGCAAATGGTATTTATGCCACATTAGAGGCCTTGCTCTTGCAGGGCAGGCAACATTTGGCTTCCTTAGGGTAGTTTATCTATGGATTAATCGTGATGATCATTTTAAACACCATAAATAGTAGAGCTGCACAAAACACAGAAAAATGTACAGGTCCAGGCCTTTCCAGGAGTTTATCATCAAAACAGACAACACCTTATGCACTGGAAGGCTCTGGGGAAGGCTCTTAAAGCATCCATCTGCCATATAGTCTTTAGTTATCCAGAGGTGGGGCCATAGTTCGGCATGGCATAGCAATAAACGTCAGTTCTATTGCCTTCAAAGTGATGAGGAGTTTAAACTTCTGGTTCAGACCCTCTCTAGGCAAATTTAACTTTGCCTTACTTTAGAAAGAGTCACTTCAGATTAGGTCTTTCAGATGTATCTGCTGCATAAAAAAAGTAAATAAAGAGGCAACTGAATATTTCAGAACCATTCTAGTTTCATAAAATGTCTGTGCTTTTCTTTATGCTATGTATTTATGCAGCAATTAACTGTTAAAAATGAAATGTGAAGCAGCATATTCAATTTTTCTCTCTGAAATCGTACAAAGGAATATAGAAGCAGCAAGCAGATTTTTCTAAGTGATAAACGGTAAAAGTGAAAATTGTTGATACCTTTGACAGTGGTTTACTCCTAGTTCTGCCTAGTCCATTACTACAAGTGTCTTTAATTCTACTGCAGAAGACAATGATTACATATAGTTGATTTTCCCATCTCATGTACAGTGGGACTCCTTGTCTCTATAACTGCAGAAAAATGAGTTTCAAGGGCCATACATATATAAACTGTGATTTATCTCTGTGCATAGAATCGACTGTATGGTATGCTAAGCTCTAACATTTAGCCTGAAATTGTAGAAGGTATACAATTTCATTTCTTTGCAAATTGAACATAGATTTTACTTGACCCTTATGCCTTCATGTGATCCATAGTTCTTGTTTTATGAGACAATAAAACTAACAATGACAGACATTGTTTCTAGGAACGCCATCCCTCGGAAGGGCCAAAATCACCGGCTTTGATTTGAATGTCGAAGCCTGTGGTTGGTACAATGTTTCAGTAGCAATTTCAGCTTATCTGAGCAAAAGTTTAAAACTCCTGGGATAACTGTATAATTCATATTCTTCCCCTGAATAACAATCCTTTAGTTATGTGTAGGTTCAGTCCTGGACTCCTGTATACCCCTGTGAGAATGGATTATGCCCTTACATTATAAGGCTACAGGGGAGGAGGTGGTATTCCATCTGGCAGGGTTCAGTGAGTTTCCCTGCTGACAGAGAAAATGATGATTTTAAGGCACCAGTCTCATCCATCATTACAAGAATGGCTCACAGATTTGACAAGAAATCTTATGAAAAATAATTTGTGGTCTAGACAATAAACTAATCAGTTTTGATGAAATCCATAAACCTTTTATATACTGTATTGAAGAGCAGACCAAATCTTTCTGGTTATGGGTACAAGTTTTGCCTTTTAAAAATATACAGAGCTTGTCTCTTCAAAAGTGGAGAAATAACCTTTCCAATGTTATCAAAATAATTAAGTTCAGTTGCTGAGGTAATATTCACTTGTATAATGTTCTTATCATGCACGCAGTTTCCATAGCTAATCTTTGCTTGTTCATGGTAATAGCCTAAAGGGAAATGTCTTGCTAGGCATTGAACACAGCTAGCTGTGAGGAAAGAGAAAAAAGGAAGAGGCACAAGTTGGAATATGGACAGGGTATTCAGGTGTGCTGTAGTGTAGTAATACTTGGTGCCTTTCTCTGTGTGGCTGACTAGGGAAAATTCCATCGAACGGTGCAAGCCAGGGACATGACCAGCAAAACTAGAGCTGTACAGACTCATGGGTCTAACACCATGTAGTAATTATGACAACTGAAAGGCTTTACAATGGGCAGCAGAGCTGCTCAGCAGTCACTCCACTCCAAGATGAATGATTAACTGCAGAATTTATTTCCCTTCAAGTCTCTTCTGAATATCCTACACAAAGCTCATTTCATTCAGGCTTTGCAGAAAAAAGGGCTGTGCTTGTTCTTTTACTGATAATTATTTGAATAGTAAAAGCATAGCTGTGTTTGGATATTGCCATGTGTATTCTTACTTATTTGTAGGGCATTATCACTTGAGCAATGATGGGGAACTTACCCTGTCCGCTTATCAGCTGGTTAAACACAAAACAA